ATCGACTATTCAAACAAACTGTCAATGAGATCTGATAGACAAATAGGAGGAGTACTTAGAAATATCTTTCTGGTATCTGGTCTAGTGTGAAAAAGTGAATCCTCAGTGGATGAATAGTCTACCCGGTTGACTTCCAGTATTATCTGAGATTAAAAATTCGGTAACTAGAGTATGTAAATAAAGAGAACTTGGAGATTTATGTCTACCTTATTATTTAAGTAGGTTTTGACAACTTTATGGGTACAAGGAAGGAATAATTATGGAAGCACAGTTAATAAACACCTACAAGATATATACGATCAAACATTTACTGCCATAAATTCTTCCTGGCAATCAAAAATAGTTACTGACACCGAATACATCCTACTAAAAAATGACACCATAATCATCAGTCACTTATGCATGAAGTAAAACTAAAAATAACTGAGGAGTAAATAAGGATTCTCAGTCACCTTAAAGTAACCCTGAAACCATTCCTGATATACTTTCTTGGTAGGAAAAATGGAGTGATTTTGAAGGTTACTTTAGTGAGTTCGTCTACATTAATGATGAATTTCGCCACACATAGTAATATTATACTGAAACTAAAAATATTTTAAGTGTAGAAACACATAACTTTTGCATTTTCTGAAAACTTTTCAAAAACCACTAGTTGAAATTCGCGGCAATTTCGTTTGACCTTCAAATACACTTTAGAAGTCACACCAACTGTTTCGTACAGTTAGCATTACTTAGGACATTTCTTTCATCAATAAAATGTCAAAAAGCTGAAAATAAAGTCTGAAAAACTTAAATAGACTATAGTATACATTTTTAATGTTTTGACAAAGTTTGTGGAATAGGTATGCATTCTGTTAATGGTAATTTTGACACAGATACTTAACAACGCATTGAATTCAAGCTTGTTTTCTTGACTAACCACGAATATAGAGTGGTAAATGTTTGAAACGGGTAAACTTGGATTCGATATATGACCACGAATTTGCCTTAGACTATATATATATATATATATATATATATATATATATATATATATATATGTACATATATATATATATATATAAAGATGTCAAAAAATTGATAAAATTGATTAAAAATGATAACTTGGGCAAAAATGTTTAATTTCAATGAATTTCTTTCCGGATTGCATATAAGTACACAAATTTACCACTTATACTTTTAAATTCTGTATTGAAACCAAGATAATTTTGCCTTATAGTGGATAGTTTTGGAAGCAAAGATGCATGATTCGTCTTATTTGGTCAACATCAGCTGGATGCATCTGCACTCAGTCTCCAAAATTAGATTTAAGGAAATATCCTAACATTCGTTCAAGGGGCTTCAGTGAAAACCTAAACCGATCGATTTGGTTCAATATAACAGTTAGTTGGAAGATACAGACATTGAATAATAATGAAAGAGGGATTAATGATAATCCCTATTATTATTGTTGTTATCCTGGTACTAATTTAAGTCTTGAAATCCGACTGTTAAAACAGAGTTACAAAAGGTTTGAAATCGCTGCGAAAATGAGATACAACATCGATAAAGTACTTAGTGAAATTAATATAGTTTTAGATTGAACAAATAAGGCAAAATTAAACAACATAAGAAGTTAAAATGTGTTAAATGTCTGCCAAGGGCATCATGTCATACGAACTGAGGTTAAGATGGGGCTAAGGCAGAAATCAAGGAAATAACATTCTCCAACTTCGTGACCCATCAAAGCTTACAGGTGTTTAGAATTAAATAAAAAGAATATCTTCGAAAATTTAGCGAGTTCTATAAACAACCTGCATATATTAGCGCAAACAAAGCGTCATTGACTTGCTTTTAAAATCACTATCCACTTTAACGAATCCAAAACTTAGACTTCTCAGTACACTGAAATATCTCAGCAACATGATGATTGATAACAGCCGTAGATAATAAGGGTAAAGCTAACCATTGTAGTGGAATGTAACTCTATAATAGACTTATTTATTAAATATCGCACACAGTAATGGAGTAATAATTATTTGATAACGTTTGAACACAAATTACTTCACGTTTCAAATCTAGGAAGCTCACTAGTGAATCAAAGGACCTGGACATGGAATTAAAGCATACAAATAAAGCAAAATCACTTAGAGATTGATACTATCGGTTTAAGGGTTGCGTTAACTTAATTCAGCTAAATAATTTTGGCTAGCTACTTTCGGATCATTCGATAGAGCTAAGTCAGATTATCGAAGAATACAGACTTAGCCAAACTTAGAAGGATAGGCCATACTATGTCCAGTAATCGAGAGCGGAACTCAGATGTCGGAATCCATGCACTGACAAACAGTTGTAGAATAAGGTGGTGCAAGAAAACTTCACTAAAGATCAACGTGTTTAGATAGAGAGAGAGGTTATTTACTGAATCATTGTTCCTCGAGTCACGACCTTGGATGTGTAATTAGAATTAACAAATACTCGACCAAGATCACAAGGTGTGATCTCTGAAGCAGAAATGTGATAGAGAGAGATGCTACTACTGAACAACCTGAGTAGTTAGAAACCACTCAGGCAGATCTGTAGCATTTAGCTGGGTACACCGCCGATAAGCTTGGCTCCAAACGAGCGAAATGGCCATCTAATGTTTAGATCATTTCGATATGGTTGGCGAAAGACCACAGATCGGCCTGAAGTTTAGTAGCAGTGTATTTCACTTTTTTTTTAACCATTTTCCACTAAAAACTGTTCACAGTGGTTTCTATCACTCAGATGGAAGGAAATGTCACATTTATTTTCACTTTGCTTAGCCACCACCTTATATTAATTATCGAATGTCTACTAACAACAGATTTTCAGAAAAACGTATCTGGATAAACAGATTAATTTGTGTGATTATAATTTAATAACACGTGACTAACTACTTAACAAAACAGGGCTGAGAAACAAAGAAAGTAATGCACCGTTCATTTCAATGACTAGAAACGTTTACTGATTAAATCACTGCAATCTCCATAATGAATAACCACCTCAACCACTGAGATCCGTATCATAATCGTTAGTTTAGTTAAAAAACTAATGAATGGAAAAGCATGTAGCTTATAAAAATATCCAGGATCAGCTGAGATCAGTAAACTATCAGCGTAAAAGACTGCTGGGTTGGTTCTGAAATAGTGTGTAGTAGCAGAGTCAGTACTAAATGTAATAATGTCTCCTTTTTAAGTGGCCTTTATGAACTTGTGTAAAGTAATTGTCAGACATTCAGATAATACGTACACCGTTCAAACATTTCTTGGTATGCTAGTCTGTCTGAGTCAATTGATTAGATTTATGTGATCAAGATAATTTGAATTAGGTTACTGATGGGACGGATTTCACAAGTGTCTCATAAAATGTGTTGGGTTGTCCTTAAAACAAACCTAGTTGATAAGATTAGAGAAAGCTGAAGAAAGTCTCAACTCAGTGAGTTTTTAGATTTGCAGTACAATTTTAAATAAGTATGAAAACTGACTAAATATTCCCCTGTAACTTATTATTCAACTAGTTATTTCATATGATGATCAGCCGTTAACTCCTTAAAAGCACTTCCGCCAACATCCCAGTCTTGGTTTTGTGAATTAACGGCTAAATATAAAAATCAAAGTTATTTAAAACAAGTAGTGGTTGACCAGCTTAATTTAATAATAAGTATCACTGTTATTCGTAAAAATTCATTGGTAATAAACATAAAAAGAAACAGAATTTCAGATGGTATTTTTCGTCGCATTAGTAACAAGCTGCCTGCACTAACTAATTAATTTTACTCTACGGAGTTACTATTTCCACGTAAAAATATGATTCCTCTAGGACGTCTGATTGTCATATTTCATTCTTTGCAGGTAGTGAATTCACTCAACTAGCAGATATTCAGAATTTTTTCGGCATTCTAAGATAGATAAGTGCAGTAGTTTTCTGGACCTTTATACATAATGATGTCTATATCCTAGTCAAAAGGAACGATTCACACTTTCGCCCTTTAGAAAAGATTATACACTTTGGTTGGCAGTAATGTAGTGGGCGTTGTTGATAAGAATGGATATAAGTAGTATATGTTGGGGAATCATAGGGAATTACCAGCAATGGGTAAGGATTCCGCCGACAGAAAAGCAAGAGACAAGGCAAACGTGTGAAGAGTAGATCAAGAAAGAAGCAGAAGAGGAAATGAAGCATATTTCGCAAATGAAGGTTTTAGTGCAAGGTGTACCATATTTAACGACTATTGTCCCACTTGTTGACACTAAACATTCCTTCTTGCATACCTGTCTTTTGCTTCTTTCAGTAGTAATATGAAAGATGTACATTTCAATACAACTTTCAGTCATTACTGTTAGTTAGCCAGTACTCAGAGGGATCAAATTTATCTGAATATTGAGTATAAAATGGCTGTTATTAATATCTATGGTATCTGTGATGGGATTACTCATCTGAAACACCTAAACCTAAAACTCAAAGACCTGATCATTGTACTTATCGTAGTTACAAATGGTTTTTTTGCCAATATTTGATGATTTACAGTCAGCTTGTTCTACGCAGACGAACGCATGATCATATTCCAATCCTCAGCATGCAGATCACAACTGCATTAACCTTCTCGCATAAGATAGAAGCTGGCGAAAAAGTTATTAAGTGGTGTTTTGAAACCTAATATTCAACTGAATATTAAGTGGGATTTTAAAAATGTAAAACATATTCAAGTCCATAACAACTGCAATTTACCGTAAGGTAGTAATTATAAGTAAGATTTGCGGACCAACTGTTCTATTAGACATCTAAACTGGAAATCTACTCAGATCTGATAACTTTTGGTCATTACCGCAGTTTCTCAATTAATAGGTTTCTTTCTTTAAACTCAATAACTCCACATTAACATGTAAAACTGGGATGGTTTATTTAAGTTTATACCTGTTTCCCAATATTATGAACAAAATAAGATGTCTACTGATTCCTTAACTTGTTTTTCTTTTTTAATCGGCTATTCCTTGCAGGTTATATATTTTGTCACTGTGATACAGATGAATGTCGTGCTTTTGGATATAAAGAATGCAAAGCTGAATTTTATTGTTACAGTATTTATGAATTAAATTGGCCGCCAGACAAAAATGCCCAGTTATTAAATCGATCAACAGATATTACTGGTACTTCCATCAGTCGTGGTTGTATATCTAACAGTTTTTTAACAATGTGTACAAAGAAGGAAATCCGATCAAAGAAACAACTCAATTCACCCTATCTAATAACTCACTGTTGTAGAGATGCTTGGTGTAATGCAGATAAAGTGAAAGTGAGTCGGCCTGTTTATCGGTTAATAATTAGGATTATCTGATGGATGCTTATATTGGGCGTAGTATATCCCAACAAATACCGAAATATTTATTTTGTAATTTGTTCCAATATACTACACCGGGATTACGCACGTAAGATATACCTAACATGACGAAGCACTAATTCAATGCAATTCAAACCACCCAGACTTTTGTTTTTCAGGATACGTTCAAAAATGGAGGGCTGTCGGTGAATAGTTCTTAATTACAGGGATATTTGTTCACTAGATAGCCGTATTTATTGGTATTTTTTATTTCTCACCAGTCTGAACTAAGGTTTGGTACAAACGTACTATAATTCAACTTGGATGTTAGTGGGGATTTATTAATTTCAAGGTGGTATTCACAACGAATTAGCATCAGTTGAAGAACCATTGAAAACTTCCCCTTCCTGGACAGCTGTTCCATCTGATTGTGGAACTTCGCAGCAGTGTGTACCAGTGACCCCATAAGGCACTGAACCCCTGGCCTTCAGGCCTCATAGTGAGTGCGTTACTGTTGGTTCACTAGGCCAGAGTCTAGTGCACCACACTCTACTTCTGTTAATCCACGAAATAGTGAAATCTTCAACCAGTTCCATCGCTGAGCATTTGTCGTTATTGGTGATATACTTCGAAATACGATTTTCTTAAGTTATAACAAGGCGTCATGACCGGTAAGAATGTAAAAACAAACGCCAAACGACGGAACTGTATAACGGTCACATTATATCGCAAGTTTAAAGAAGTAGGAAAATGTAACCACTGAACTGGAATCCAGTGACTCAACGGTAACATGCTGACTGCGAAACATGAAGACCTTGGGTTCGATCCCTGGTGGAGTCATGGGTGCGCACTGTTGAAGAATCACACGGTGAGACGAATCATTTGTTCAATGCCTCCACCTTTTCAGTGGTTTTCCAAATGATATCAGTTTGTGGTGAATACCACTTTGACAACAGATGGGTTTTGTTGACGCATGCCAACGTTTTATCAGTTTTTCTCATTTGTTTATATTGGCCTCTACATAATCTCTGCTGTTGGTTTAAACACGTCATTTATTGTCCTTGTCTCTTTGATCTATGAAAGATATATACACACATAAAATTCCGTGTCAGCTGTAATCTAGCTTTCAACTGATGTGGCTGTATCGAAAGTTCCTACCATACAAGAAGCGTGTTATTTTCTTGTTAGGAGTCAGAAGACTTGAATGGATTACGCTCCACCCATTACCGCTTGAAAGAATAATTAATCCACCACAAATAGTGACTCATTAAAAAACTGGCTACAGAAAATCGTTTTTGGCTATGTGAATTAATGATTTGGACGTTTTAACAATGAATTGTTTCCTCTGAGGCTGATCGAACCTCTGGTTGACTGTTTCCGGCAACGACGAAGTCAAAGTTGGAAACTTCTTCCTAAAGTTTGTAATTGTTCATAATCTAGTATTGTTACAAGTATGACTCGTTTAATCGTCAAAATAATACACATTATAACTCACAATGTGTTTAAACCAATCAGATGAAATCTCATGTTCCCTGCTCTGAGTTAAAGCTTGACAAAATGAAACCTCTATATTCTAAGCTGAAACGCAAATAAGCTATCAGGAAGATGAAGTTCATTCCTGACGTTTTTCTCGTCACTGTCTGCAATCAGTTTTCTGAAATAAAATGTATACTTCTGGGAGAATTATTCTATAAATAGAAAATTACGGATATACTTAAATGAATAATGAATCAGTAACTTAGATTTCCGAGTGAAATAACAGTGATGAAAGGAATACTAACTCAGTAATTACAAGAAAATATGAAATCTAATGTAGACCTGTGATATGAAACTCTGTTGCTGTAAAACAAGAGGTGTTAAATTATCACCTCATGAACGTGGTCGTTTAGATGGATACCATGAGATTTGAAAGTTTATATTATCTAAGCTTGAGATAATCCATCAGGAGCCAGAAAACACAAAAGTAAGGGACATTTTAAAAATTCTGGCTACTTTTTAAAACACCCAAATCTCCAGCAACTAGTCATAAGCACGATACCTACTTCACAGACCCAGGTTAAGGTAGTCAAAGAGTGCCACTAGTAGGCCTAATTCGAATGGCTCAAAACCCACTAAATTACAATATACTCATAATTAACATCTCAAACCTTACTTTTGACTGAAATATACAGACAACTATTTCATTTGAGAGTAGAATTCGGACACTGGCAGAGTAGATTTTCATTATTACTTACTCGTTTCGTTTTAAGCAGAGTTTATTACTAATAACCATGGTTCTGAAATGTCATCAGCAAATAATCCTGTCTGACTATATTGTAACTAAAAAGGGAACTAAATGGTGCTATTTTAGTTCTGTTGGCTTTGGATTGTTAGAATTCAACTTGGATTCAGACTTTTAGACACAGCTATCAAACCCAGACAAATAATATGCAGATTAAATTACTACTCGAACTGTATTTTATTTTTAAAATCTTTGTCATAGATTGCTCAAAGTGACTGGTTACCTCAAGAACCTAAACGGTTTATTCCAAAGACAGCAGATTATTCTAAGTATGAAGGAGAAACAAAGAAACCAGCTAGTTTAAGACAAAATGCACAATTCAAGTCAGCACCATCTTTGATTACTTCAAGGAATTTCGAAAATTTTAAAAGTGGAGACCAGTTAATCAGAGATGATTATTCAGAAAGTTTATTGAACTCAGGTGTGATTTCTCAAGGTCCTAAGAAGCAAATCACAACCAAAGAAGAAAAGTCTGAAATTAATCATCCAAAACGAGGGATAAGACAGAAAACAGAAAAAGGTTAGCAGCGATGTTCAATTTTAAAAATTCATCTCACATTTGTTATTAAATTGAATCAACTGAAGGGTGTGTAAATATCTGCTAAAACTTTCCTTCTCAAATTTAAATCAACTTCGAAGTTATTGAGAGGGAAAAGGTGAAACCTAATTGACCGAAAATGGTACCTTTATATATAGTGAATAGAGCAGTATTATTTACTGAGACAGTGATCTAATAAGTGCCATTTTACTGCAAGTCAGCAACTCATATATATCCTGAAATAATCATTAAAATCTTAGCAAAGTGAGAACAACAAATTCTGCAGAATAAGGTGAACTCATTGTGTTTCCTCACTTTCTTTTCAACTGAGTACAGACTGAAATTATAAGATATATATATATATATATATATATATATATATATATATACCAAAAAGATGATAGTCGATTGAAGACATACTTAAGGAATTACTACAGGTTAAGAATGCTCAAATGAAATAATTAGTGCATACTAAAATCGTAGTTATTTCATGTTCATATAATATGGATGTCATCTTAATGTATGTGACCAATCAAAAATGGAGTAGAAAGGATTACTTAAGTGTATGTGATGAGCTAATAATGTAAATATAAGGGTTGCCATTTTTTCATGTGTTAAGATCAAGTTGATCTGAGTCAAATAGCAAACTTGTGGAGATGAAACAAGAAATGATCATAAAATCGGTTGTAAAAGGGGGAAGGTTATAGTGAATAACAAAAAAATCAATCACTGTCATAGAAGTTGGAGGCTAACAGTTGCCTTTTTATATTGGCATGAGTTTGGTTTGCTTCTTCTGATTCCAGTTGCCTCTGCGAATTTTAGTACATTCGCTCTGTTTGTCTGTTACTTTAAATACTTTCGAGATCTGGACGTGGTGTCCTGCGTCTATCAGATGTTTAGTAATAGTACTTTTAAGACACTTTAGCCCCTTTAACCGTAACTTATTTGAAATTTGTACACGAAATCGAGCCTCAGTTCTCCTTTCTGTACTTCCAATGTACTTGATTTGATATGTATGTGTGAACTGGTAAATTCATTTTAAGCTAACGTGAGGCGGAAACCTGTTGACTTCCGACTGTTGTAGTGAAGGCTGTTTTGCCTGCAGAAACTAATTTTGAAGTGAACCAATTGTATGAAATCATCAAAGTGTTCAGGTCCTATGAACAAATTTTGAATTACAAATATTTCGGTAATGAGATATAGTGGATCGCAATGAAATCCAGGTCATGCATTTTGTCTCATTATGGAATCGTCAGGTAAGTGTGCCTGCCTTCCAGTGAATGATATTGTTCCCACAAAGCCTCAAAACCTGAACCAATCCCCTACAACCCCAGGACGCTGTCTACTGGGATAGTGAGTCACACTGGTCACTTCTTGTGCAGTAACATACATATCTTTTATTCGTCGACCAGTTGTTCAAATAACCGTCTCAGTTCTGATGTTATAACAAAAGCTATTCAACAGACGTTGGTTTGAGAAACGAAGCAATACAATGAGGTCGCAAACTACATATGTTCTGCAGCCATGTATAAATGTTAACATGGAGTAAATTACGTGCAACACTTTTCAGTCTTTCGACAGGAAGAAATGAAGCCGGCTCTCTGAAACTAAAATAGGAAAAAAGTAGCGGTTTAAATGCTGTTTTGAACACAAACGTTATCGAGAGGATTTAAAGTGACTTGTGAGCGATAAAATCAATTAAATAGGTGAAATATGATTTAAAACTAATCATGTTGCTGTCTTGAAGATAGTTTGCCATCCTACTGCCTTAAATTGACGAAAGGATAAGCTTACTATTTACAAGTCTATTATTTAGGTAAGTGATATGCATTTCATTATTTCAGGGGTCTTTTATCGAGCAACAACACCAACCAGAAAGCCGTTAAGTACCTGAGAAGACTTGGTACTCGTTAGGGTAATAGAGGAAATCAGCAGGAAGCTCTGAACCTAGGTTTCATGCTTCTTGGCACTCGTCAACAAGGGGGTATCTGCAACCTCGACGTAGCTCATGTCTCGCCTGTGATGCTAACTGACGTCACTCAGCGTTGCATTTAGAGACATTACCAGTGAGCTATTTAGGGCGTGATTGATCTCATATAGGATTGTGTTAGGTATACTGGTTGGTTACTAGAGGGTAGCAACTTCGTGTAGTTTAGTCCTAAGTACTCATCAAATTTTATCCATCACTTTGCAATATGGACACCAGGTTATGAGGCTGACCACCACGATGCATTGAGATGGAAGTTATCTGGCTGGAAGCAATCAAAAGGAACCCCTGAACCTAGATTTCCTGGTTTGGGCACTGATCAGTAAGGCATTTCATCCTAGTTTACGACTTCTTGCCATTGTGCACCCAATACCGCGTGAAGGGTCAAAACTAGATTTGACCAACTTCTAAGTTGGGCAACATGGACCGTTGAGTTATTACACAGTGACTGGGTGGTAACGTGGACAACATTGGACCGGACAGTCTTAGGTTAGATACCTTGCGAAGTCCCTCGGACAAAAGTGAACACCGAATATCTTGTCGAACTTATCTTGTACCCTTAACCTACAAATCAATCATCTGGGTGAGAGCTGATTGAAATCACTTAATATAAATGCCTATACACAGTCCCTTACAACTGTGTTGGTTTACATTTGACATAAAACTGAGGCCTCTTTGAAGTAAAACTGTAGTTCAGTAGAGAGCTAAATCTGAATAAATATCAAACGCTTTGAAAATATGATAATTTGGAAGTATAGTTTGATATTACCAACTATGAAAAAAAATTAAAACATTTTTTCTCTGTTGCTATAAGTGAATTAAGGTATCAAAAAACAATTTTCAACTAAGTGAAGTTTCAAATCCTAATAACCTACTAAGTAACGGTGAGGCGTTTTCAGTCGACATATACGCTTACAGTCAACCTATGATTTGCGGTGTATTATATGTTTAACGTAGTTGGAAAATAATAATAATGAAATATATTATTGACAGATTACCAAGGCCATTACAACTACTTTTTCTACATAACGGATATAAACTCAGTACAGTTGGGTAATCAAGAGATCCACCTTACAGCAGAGCATAATATTTTGAAGAGGTAAATAAAAGAATAATTAGAGAGGCAATTCCATAAGATACGCTCGGAAGACTTACATTGCATCCGTATTACTTTTTGAATGAAGAAGTCATTAGAAAATCGCCGTAATCCTGCCGCAGAATTCCACTCTGTGCTATATCTCATATCTTCTTAAGTGATCCATGGGATCCGAAATTCACAATTTGTTAACAGAAGCTAATCTTACAGAAACACCCTTCATACCTGATCAATAAGCTACTTTTCTCTGCTAACCCCCACCGATATGTGACCCAGTGGGAGCTGTTGACATGATTGACATAAGATATTCTTCAGCAACAAAAACGGTGTTTCAAGATGACTACATTCGATGAATTATATGATCTCTTCCAAGCTCACACGCAGACTACCAGACATACGAGTTCATAATTTTGTAATCGGTCTAAGCATTTCTAAAAGGGCAATGACAAAAAACACAGGTCTCAAAAATCTTCTGACCATGGATGTAAGATCATACTGATATACAGCTGACGTGGACGGTATCAGAGTATTCGACATCCGGCATTTTACGGTTAAATTAATATCACAGTGACGCCAGGGATGACCGAGATTTGCAGTTTCTTCTATAGTTTATGAAATACATTCGGCAATGTCATTAGTCGTATGTCAACCAGTATCCAGGCAAGTAAATACCTACACAAATCTTTTAACTACTGCATAGGGCTCACCATAGATAGCGATTTCTGGCAGACGTCTTTTTCAATCTTTGAAAATTATTTTGTGTTTCGATGACATAATATATATGCCATACCTATAAAAAAGATTGTCAATGGATTGGGCTTCATTCAGAAATGCTATATCACATCGTACTTTAAGATGACATAGCTTACGTAGAAAAAATCACGGCCTTTCTTCTGTTGGTATATGTACATCACTGAGAGAGAAAATTAGAGATATGGGCCATGTCTTTCTGTCACTGGAAACAGAGCCGAATAAGGTAGAAAGAAAGAGGGTGAGTTATCGAGATATTATCAGATTGAAATTCGCAGTCAACTAAGATGATTTCTAACTTCAGCGTTTATTTCATGTACGATCATTTTCACTTCTGCTAGCATCTCAACATACGAATCAAGTTTCTGCAACAATAAGTCATAACAACAAAAAGCAAATAAAACTGAATGTCTCATAATTCTTTGAAAATGGTTTTATAGTACATAGTCAACAGATTCTCATGCGCAAATCTCAAAAGGATGGCAGGATATCAAACTCATATCATTTAAATTAGGTTGAGCAAAGAAGCAGCATTGATCAATACTGTGTAATGTGGATGGCTCATGAACAAGTGTACCAATCAATGCACGATCAAAAGGTTATTCATAATATGTTTTAAAATAAGAAAATGATTATGAATGTCTGTAGAATGACTAATCAGATGTCAATTTTTACTAAAATTACAATGTACAGTTAAGACTGTTCAACACACTATCATGTTTTGTAACTGATCCACTGAAATCTTTCCGATCCTGATTTCGTTTAAGGAAATAATTCCCTAAATCTCAATTTATCATATGTTTAACTAAACGAATAGTAAGTAATACTTTTACAACATTGTAAATGTCACCATATAATTACAATATCAGCTTATTTTTATAAATTAGGCTTATTCTGTGCTGTGTATAGACATACGTTCAAAGTCTTCTCCGTAAATTCACCGTATTATGATATATTCAGTCCATTATATACACATGAGAAAATATTTGTTAATATCATTTAGTTTCTTATTAAGTAGTAATGGTATAACTAATCCAGCCAATGTGGTTGGAATGATTAATTACGTCTTTTTTAGTGTATCTAAACTATGAATAAACATTTTTATTTAAGTAAAATATCAATTCCCTTTTATGTTTGTAATATTTTTTT